TTGCATCATGCCCATCACATGAGGTGTGCTGGCCGTGTGTTGACGCAAGACATAAGAGAGTTCCGTAGGTGGTACTACCGTAAGTGTACTTCCTTTCCACATAAGGTTCCTTTGCAAGGAACGTAAAGTGTCAATTCCTACAAGCACGGCACATTCATAGGGCAAGAATGGCACTATCAAGCACTCATCTAGAGTGGCCAGCACAGTTTTACACCATGTGTCTATTTGTACATGTACTTTCACCTGTCCCGAAGGGGTAAGAATACCTAGTGATCCAATGCCTGGAAACGGGCCACACACCGGTATAATTCTGTATTGGTAGTTTAAGGTCCTTCACAAACACACTTGAAATTAATGTTGGCACTGCCCCAGTGTCCAGATATATTTTACTTCTGTGATTGTTAATCGCTCCTTCCACTACCGCACCACGTCAGTAACCTTTAGGGCCAGTCAAACCCGAACCTACACTATTATCCACAACTGAATTCCATGCATGAAATACGGGCATTCCTACAGGCTCAGCTGCATGCGATTTGGTAGCAGCAGGCACAAAATTGCTCGAGGGAAAGGTGGTACCTTGGTTAGGCACATTTGTCGATGCTGGAGCAGACAAAAATGATCCTACCGGAGGAGCTCCTGGAATTCCAACTGGAGCACTACCCGTTGGAGGTGCTCCCGGAGTATGATTGGGAACATAGGTCCAAACTCCCCCTACCGGGCCAACATTCTGCATTGGAGGAAAGTGGGCCTGCCCTGTCGGCTGCCCCGACAAGGGTCGTCCTCTTCCACGATTACGTCCCGTTGCCTATCTGCCTTCCTTTCGTCTTGTGGCTCTTTTAGCTTTCCACACGGGGTACTGATACTTCTTGTGGTCTAATGACTTGCACTCATGACAACCACCATATCATAGCCCCAAGCCTCTGACTGCTGCCACTTGATTGCCTTCTGCCGGTAGAGCTCCTACTACTGGCAAATCCTTGCGATCTTGCTTCTGGTCTACCATACCACGCAAAACTTCAGCCGCTTTCGAAATGCCACCCATTTGATACACCACACGAAAGATTTCCTTGCGGCTCACAGGGGTACTATCAATCACATCTGGATCCTGAACTCCAATTGTGCTGCTGCCTCGATGAGTCGCTCATCTCACAGTGACACCTTGTCTTCTTCTTCCAGTATACAAGACATCCCTGCCTTCACAAACTCCGAAGGACCACATCTGGTGATCAACGCGTACACTGACCCCTCATATGACTCAGCATTGCTCTGAAAAGTGGCTAACATTTCCTGGTAGTTCTTGTGCTCCTCATTAAACCCATAAGCCAACAACACCGCTGCCACACATAAGCGCGCTTGAACATCTGCTGCAGGTAAATTAGGAATAGCTGTTTCCTTACCTTCTTCCGCAGTCAAATTGGCTTCCTCCACTTCTTCTCGTTCCTTGACAATTGCTACAACCTGTGTAGTAAGTACACGTCGAGTAGCTATATCTCAACGTTCTCCCTCCTCAGGGAGGGGGACGTTGTTCATTTTTTAATAATTGTAAACAGTAATCCTAAGATTGATGACTCTCAAAACGAGTCATCAGTCATGTGCTGTAAAAACAGTAAAACCCTAAAACCCAGTTTATCAGATTATTCTGATAAACTGTAAAACTTATAATAGACCTAAAATAATCAAACAAACTACGTACTATAGTATTCTGACCACACCTGGCTGACAGTAGTTACTGCTATAAGTTTCGGTCTATCAAGGCGATATTAACGCCATAGAGTAATTAAACGCTTAGGTTGAGTATAAGTATAATTAAATTCAAAGTAAATAAATGAAATGAGTCTTTAGTAAAGTTAGGTATGCCTCGTGAAAACAGCAATGCTCTGAAGGATTGTGAGACTGAGGCATTGCCTGTATATAATCCTCTCAGTACTGTTGTCGCCGAAGGGGTTTTATTCAGTGGTTCGTTGTCGCTCTGTTAGAAACTATGGTATGTTTCGTTGGGGCGAATCCGAGAGACTCATAAAATCCTATCTTTAGAAAAAAGAAGAAAAAAAAGGAAAAATACTCTTGATGTCCTTAGTTATTGTCTTAACCAATAATTTGCCACTTATCAAGAATTGCCGACTTAGCCTTGATCAGACTGGCACATCTGGTTGGCTGAACGGAGGATAAACTAAGCAACGCTAATAGTCCTTAGAAACCTATGTTCGGTTGAGCCATCTCGCTACCGAAGTATTCAGATATAAATAGATTTGGAAGGTTAATATAGTTCTATTAATAGAACTGGACCAAATCTTATATTTGGTATTTTACTGGGGCCTTTTGATGGCCCTGTCCAAATATCTGATATATAAAATGGAAAAGGTATTTAATTAATAAGAACCGTTAAAAACTATTTAAGGAAAACTTAAGTTTACGTACTTTTAAGTGTACGTTTTACGTACTATCAAGAGTACGTTTATATTACAAGATTCTAATGTGGAGGCCCGGCTTTTACACAGCCTCCACCCAGCTTTGAGACCCAGGAGAAGCAAGTTGCTCACTTGAGCTGATTATGAGTCAAAGAGCGAGAAAGGAAAACGGGTCGAAAACCTTATGTAGCATAACGTATAGTTAATGTTTCTCGGGCGGAGAAGTTAAGCGTTCTCGGTTACCTTGTGAGTTTTGAATTTAGGTCCAGTAGGTCCGTGGTGGTCGACTGGACGTTTCTTACGCTTCAATGTTTTTGGAACAAATGAAGGATGAGCATTAAAGCTCGGGATAAATGCTGTAGGCGGGTATGTTTAACTTCCGTGCCTTCAGATTATGGAAACATGCTATCTTTTTCAGCCTGTGACTTATGTAGGCGTTTACGCCATTTTCTGTTAAAGGCCTTTAAATAGTCCTGATTGTCAAAAGCGTCTGAAGTTAACTCAGCGATTGTACCGTCTATAAAGCGTGTACGATATTATGTATGTCTACCTTTATCCGTTCTCCATATAATATCTTTGAATTGGGAGCGGTCAAAAGGTGCAGTAGAATCATATCTTCTTGCGAGAATAATCTCAGTAGTCGGAATTCGACAAGTGTCTATATTTAAAGCACTAGAACCGTCGGGGTTATTAATCTCATAGGTTCCACTTTTAGTGTCGGCTACAGAGATTGTATATGGTCCTATCCTTTTAGATGTTAATACAGTTGCATCGGAATATGTTGACGGATGTTAACTCTGTCTCCAACCTGATACTCTGCTATCTTTTGGGTAGTATTCCATCTATTTTGTCTTTTTAATAAGGCCGCATTACGTGTCTCTCGCAAGCAAGGATATACAACGTTGTGTATGCGTTGTACCTTCTCTAACCATGTAATGTTTTAGGTAGAGCATCCAGGACCAGCTACTACAAGTATGACAGTGGAACTAAAGCGAATTATGCCACGATGGTGATCAGGTTCGTCCTTGTTAAAGGGT